ACGACCTGAAGATCTTGCCGGGCGGCGACCTCACGGAAATCGGCGAAAAAGGCATCAACTTGAGTGGCGGCCAGCGTACTCGAGTCGCCATTGCCCGTGCCGTGTACCAAGGTAGGCCTGTTCACCGACTCTGGTCTTTGGCGCAAGCGTGATGTGTCATTGTGAGTAGATGCCGACATGTACCTGCTGGACGACCCGTTGGCGGCCGTGGATGCGCACGTCGGGTCGGACATCTTCAAGCAGTGCATCAAGACGGCGCTCAAGGGCAAGTTGGTCGTGTTGGTCACGAACGGGTTGACCTTTTTGAAAGATTGCGACTCGGTCGTCGTGCTGGAGCAAGGACGCGTCGTGGAGCAAGGCACGTACCAGAGTTTGATGGACTCGGCCGGTGGCGTGTTGGCCAAGATGATGGAAGGCAACTTGCACCATGCACCACGTGACAACGTGTTGCATCACTTTGATGACAAGTCGGAATTCCATCGCCCAACCGAACAAGTTGTTGAAGAAAAAGGAATCGACAGTGACAAGGGTGCCTTGATCACGGACGAAGACCGTAGCACGGGGGATGTCCCGTGGTCCATATACAGAGTGTGGATCGACGCGTGTGGTGGCGTTGGTATTGGCTGTGTGGTGGCTTTGCTGTACTTGGTGACGAGCTGCGTAAACTTGTCGGCGTCGTTCTGGCTGTCGTACTGGAGCGAGAACGCCGGCAATTCGACCCACAGCCAATTCTACTACTTCAACGTGTTCATGGGGCTGAGTGCGGCCAGCATTGGGATGCTGTTTGTGCAGACGCTGGCGCTGTTTCTCGCGGGCCTGCGTGGGTCAGCCCACCTCTTCAGCGCGTTGCTCACCCGCGTGCTTCGTGCACCGATGTCGTACTTCGACACGACGCCGCTCGGTCGCATCATGAACCGCATGAGCAAGGACGTGTACGCTCTGGACGAAACGCTTCCGTCCAACTGGGGCATGCTCCTCGGCGCCACGTTCTCGTTCATCACGACCATTGGCACCGTTGTCTACGCGACGCCGTGGTTCACGGTGCTCTTGCCGCCACTGGCAGCGTTCTACTACGTGAGCCAGCGATACTACATCAGCACGTCCCGTGAGTTGAAGCGGCTAGATAGCATCAGTCGGTCTCCAGTTGTCGCCTTGCTGACAGAAACCCTGGATGGCATCCCAACTATTCGCGCCTTTGGCGTCGAACGGCAATTTGTTGCACGGAACCAAGCCCTGCTGGACCGCAACCAACGCGCGTACGTCTTGAACATAAGCGCGAATTGCTGGTTGTCCTTGCGGCTAGAAATCGTCGGGACAGTGGTCACGGCTGGCGCTGCCTTCTTCGCGGTCCTTGCCCATGGAAATCATGCAGGTGTGGCGTTTGCTGGGCTGGCTGGTGTCGCGCTCTCGTGCACTCTGAACGTGACGCAATACCTCAACTGGACCGTACAGATCGTCAGCATGCTCCAAACGCAGATGATCAGTGTCGAGCGAATTCACGCGTATTCCACGATGGAAGTGGAGGCCGAGTTGAACGCCGAGCCTATCAAGCAACTGGAGCTCGAAAATGCCAAGTGGCCATCCCAAGGCAAAGTGACGTTCACC